GTGACAAAGAAAAGACAAGTGCAGTAGCACAGACGGCAGTCAGCAGAGCCGATCACGAACGCTCTCTCAGTCTGCAGCCTCTGAGACCCATGCTCTGGCTATTACCATGGATAAATGAAAATACAGAGGAACGTCTGGAGACTCTCTGTGACAAATTTATCTGATTAACGGTGGACTAGACAAACAGACCCGCCGGCTCACTCATCCGCCCCAGACGCCGGAGAGGAGGACGTATTTGGTGAGGGGAGTGGGGTGAGAGGGGAGGGGGGCGGGCGGTCAACTCTGGAGGGTGATTCCGGAGCACGGCGGGGGGAATCACTGAAGTTTTGTGAGTGTGTGTGTGTGTGTGCGTTAGTGCACTAGTGTATGTCTGTGTGCCTCTGTGTGTGTGTGTGTGTGTGTGTGTGTGTGTGTGTGTGTGTGTGTGTGTGTGTGTGTGCGCGTGTGTGTGAGTAGTCTGCGATGTGGTAGGCCAGTGAACAGGGCATTTAATTTTGTAGTCAGGGACATCTTGCCTATCAAAAATTGATTTTTCTGTAACTTCTTTTGTTTTTAACAAATGTCTAAAAAGGTTTTTTCAATACTGAAAAAGATCCATCCTGCACCTTTCCTGTGTTCATTTTAACTGCACAGGAATAGTTTTCTTTGAGAGTTTCATATTTCAGTAATGAATTATAAGCATCTTACAATCCTCATTGTATGGCGTGTAAGTCTTTTTCAGCTGTAAATGTCTTATTTTTCTTAATACATATTTGATTAATTTTATTTGCCTAATTTAAGTACATATAGCAGACATTCACTCTTTTGAAAATAGATATCAATGGTCTACAGCAATGGTGTCCATTGCAGCACCATGGATTTTTTTTCTCTTTGCTCCAACTGAGGTCTTAATTACTTAATTGCTTAGTCACTTAATGGGAGCCATTGATTATATGGGATTTTGAAAGGCCTCCTAATTCAGGTGTGAGTCTGATGCTAGTTAAGAAGAATCTGGATCTCCTGGGCTAGCAGTGGACATCGGTCGTCTGTTGACTGGCCAGAACAAGCACCAAAGATGAAACTATAATCACATCTATGCGGTTTTTTTAGAGTTCGATTTTCAGGTCTCCACTATGTCTCAGAAGCAACGCGCGTGCTTCATGCAGAAACCCTGACTGGGGGCGGAAAATGGCGAGGGTCCGGTCTGACGACCCCTGAGATAAGAGCTCCTTTGATAACCTCCCTTCCCCCCTCCTGTCCCCCTTCCAGCCGCGACAGTGACCTCTCGACGATCATCTCGAACCTGCGGCACAGCAGACAGCACGGCATGCCCGAGGGCCAGCACTGCACTGAGATCAAGAGGAACGAACCCACCAACGCCGGCTCTGGAGCAGGTGGGACCCACTGGGAGAAGGAGAATGGGGTTGGCCTGACCGAAAATGCGCCCGTCTCTCTTTCTCTCCCTCAGTCATGGGGGAGCTTAGCCCCCCTGCCTAATGTTGATTTGTTTCACCCCCTACCACCCCCAAGAAATTAATTAATACCACTTAGTGTTAGTAACTTAATTTGGTGTACTTTACGTGAGTGGTGTATTAAGAGTTTTATCCCATTGTATCCCTCCCAAAGCCCCTTAATTCATGTTTTACAGTTTGCGGAGCTCTCCACATGAGAGAACCATTAGCTCATTTAAATTCACACCTTGTACAAAAGGCGTTTTTAACCAGAAAGTAGTTCAGCAACATGAACTCATGTCTTATCGTAGGTTCAGTTCAGGCTTCTGGGTTTCGTCAGCGATTGCGGCTGAAATTTATCAGCAAAGCTTTTTATATGGCATAAGATATAATTCACAAAACCTAAAATAATAAAAAATACAGCCTATAAAATGCTTTGGTTGCCCTTTATTTTATTTGAAATTATTTCCAGTAAACAGGTGATCAGAGTGCTCCCAGTGCCTGCGAGGGCTAGAGTTGTGTTGGGTGTGTTAGCCGCTCTTACAAGATGATAAATAAGAGGTTGGCTGCTGTTTGTAAAATCTAATGGCAGTATTGATCAGCTCTGGAGCCAGTGAATGCCGCTCTCTGTAATTGAGATATTGCTTTGAGAACCTGTCTGGGTGGGATCTGTGTAGAGCCGCTCTCCTGTCTGACTGCATGGCGGAGTCAGATTCAAGTGTTGTGTTTTTTTTTATATAAAGTGAATTCAGGATGAATTAATTTATGAAGTATTGCAAAAAAGAGCTGTCATTCCCGTCCAGAATTTTTAAATAGTTGGGCCCAGTTGCAAAGAAATATTAGAGGCTGGAGCTACTATGCATAGAAGTGACATATTCATACTTCTGATTCTCATCCATCAGAGTTGTTATGTCACCGTAATCAAACAGTAATCCAATCCTTTGTGCCAGTGTGTCAGGACTTTTCTCTTGGTTAGGATAATTGGCAACAGGATAATTGAAATACATGGGTGTTGCAGACAAAACAGCGTCTCCCAAGCTAAGAGCCTGGGAGAGATTTAAAAACAGTAGGCTAATCGCTCCTAATCTTAATTGAGAAATTGGCAATTAATTTTAATCTTAAGCGAGGAAGACACAGAGGGATGAACGGGGTAACCTCTCCTGTTGGGGAGAGGATGAGAATCTGTTGGTTTGCGCATTAAACACAGATTTAAGAAGCCTGTTTAAGCAGCTCTCCCCCCGTGTCTGTAAACATGTCCAGTCCCATCACCTGGTGGGTGCGATGCTGTCCTGTCTGCCCGTGTAAAACTGAAGAGAGGTCAGAGGTCAGCAGAGGACAGAGGATAGCCCTGTGCCTTTTTGTGTGGCACTTGAAATTCCCATGGATATTTCAACTTGCAACCTTTGATTTTAAAAATGCTGTTCAAAATATTCAAATGTTTTGAGCAGCGGCTGGATAGTGGGAGTGGGTTCAGCATAGTTGCTGTACAGTGTGAACATCAATGCATAACTGAGCTACTGTGGGGTTTATATAAAAGAGCAGGTTTGTTTTTGATGGTTTGGAGGTTCCGCTTTCAAAGCCCTGAGTGATGCCACTGGAGTGGGCATCAGAGGATCTAAAAAGAAAGGTCTGGATATAAAATTATAAAGAAATGAATGGAGGCGGTGCTGGAGTCGGGGGGGGGCAGACAGCGGCAGTCTCAGAGGAGGAGGAACCGGGCTCCTCTGCCAGAGAGGCTGGGTAATTAAATCTGGTGGACAGACATGCGAGCTAACCCAGGCGTCCGCGGCGGGGGACAGAAGCGCCCCACAGAATCCCCCCCCCCCCACCCCTCGGCGGTCACCGCTGGCTGGACGAGGGGGGTGCGGGGGGAGAGGGGGTGGGACGGCAGGTCGTCCGGCACCCAGGGGAAGACTCTGAGCCGGGCCTCTGTGGTCACGGCAGCAGCTCTCCCAGCTCTTCAGGGCACTGTGTTTTTTACAGTACGCTGCTGTGCTCTGTGAGTTAGCCTGGAGGAGAGGGTGAGGGGGGGGGTGTGTGTGAGTGTCTGTGAGTGCGTGTGTCGGTGTCATTTTCACCTTCACCTTGTTAATATCACCTTTACCTGCGTTAATGTCTACCCTCCGTTCATCATTTATAGGCAGTCACGTTCGAATTTGCTGATACAGCTAAATCAATAAGCAAATAGCTGACTTTCACGGTAATTTATACATGGGGCAACAGTGTAGCATAGTGGTAAGGAGCAGGTCTCATAACTGAAAGGTTGCCAGTTCAATTCCCTGCTAAGGCGGATGCTGCTGTACGCTTGGGCAAGGTACTTAACCCACAATTGCCTCAGTAAATATCCAGCTGTATAAATGGATAACATGTAAGAATTATAACCCATATAAGGTTCTCTGGATAAGAGTGTCTGCTAAAAGACAGTAATGTAATGTAATATGAAACGGATAGGAAAGGAAATGATGATATCGACAAAGCTGAGAGAAAGCTCGGCATAATTGCGGTGTGATAATTGGGTTTTAAACCGAAGTGCATTTTTTTGTATCGATGCTGGGTTTTTGACTGTGAGAATGAAAACGCACATGTTATTTTCTTCATCTGAAAGCAAACAGGCACGCATTATCGGTGCAGCTGGCTGCTGTGCTCTGTCCTTGCCCCGGTGACTCTGTGTCACTCCCTGCCTGTGGCTCTGCCGCCTTCCTCTCTGCGAGTGGCTGTTTTTTATTTTCTTTTCTCCCTCATTTTATTTTTCAGAGTTTATTATTTTCCCTTCTCCCCCCCCCCCCTCCCCCTCGTTATCCCCCGCCCGCCGGGGGTGCTGAGGGGAGAGAGCGGGTGGCGGTACATCCTCTCAGAGACGGAAGCACCCCCATTGCCCCCCCGCAGCCAATCAATGGGGCCTTTCAGCCCTGGCGGGGGCCCCGGCGCTCGCGGGATCAATAAGTTATTAGCACCATTCTGTCAGCCGTAATGCGGAGATTGATCGTTGGGGCCGTGGACGCCCGTGCTCCGCTCCGCACGCCCCCCACCCCCAGCCCCACCCCCTGGCCTGATAAAGATGACAGATTAAGGGAGTAAGAGAGGGGAATTAAGGAGTCTGGCTGTCGGGGCTGTCACTGGCTGGCTGGAGGAGGAGGGAAGAGGGTGCGAAGGCGAGGAAGAAGACGAGGAAGAGCTTTTGCCTTGTCATTTTTAGCAGTCATACTCCTAACCCCCATCCCCATCCCCCATCCCCCCCATCATGCACATCCTTTCGAATGATCGTGTCAGTATGGTAGCGGTAGCTGGGTGGTTCAGGAAGTAAAACCTCTTTCTCTTAACTTCGGTGTGTTAGAGAACACCTCACTTGCACACTTGTGTTGAGGACAGAGTGTGTGTGGTTCTAAGAGCCACTCTGACACCATCGATACATTACACTACATTACACGTACACTACATTATTGGCATTTAGCAGATGCTCTTATCCAGAGCAACTTACATGGGTTACAGTTCTTTTTTTTCTACACTGTTATCCATTTATACAGCTGGATTTTTACTGAAGCAATTGTGAGTTTAGTACCTTGCCTAAGGGCACAGCAGCAGGAATCGAACCGGCAACCTTTCTGGTTACGAGTCCTGCTCCTTAACCGCTCTGCTACACTGCC